CAAAAGCGGTGGCACCTCCTCTGACAGCAAACCTGTTAAGGATGAACGCTGCATGCACGTAACTCCATGCCATCAAGGGGTGACTGGGTCCTAGGTAATCAGGGCCTAAACCGAACTTGGCACGGGCCTGGTCAAGGAAAACATTGGAAAGCCCTCGCAGCAGATCAACCGTCTTTTCCACATACCCTTTGGAGGCATGGGACTCGACAGCAGCATTGCGCACAACGGTTTTGAAGTTCAATCTTGTTCGGACACCGATGATCAAGTTTTGCAGCGCTACAGTGCTCGGCTCATTGTCGGTCTGGAGGGCAATCGTGTTATGCCCCAGCGACTGCACAAATCTGGTCAGTTCGATCGCTGCAAATTTCAAATCATCTTTACCCTTGCTTGCAACCGGAAGTCCGAAAACTGAACCTGTCGCTGTATCGTGCGCTACTAAAATTGTGAGCTTGTGGCGCTGAAGGTCTGAATCATCTGTGGTCACGGAAGTGTAACAGAAGTCGAAGCTTACAATTGGAGTGTCCCGGTCGGGACTGTCGGGGATCGACTGGTGCCGGTCCTCAAGCCCGCGCATGGACAAGCAGTGATCACACCAGCCTTGGAAAGGCCAGTGAGTGAGATTGTGCAAATCACGCTCGGCCTTCGATGGCTCTTTGTTCATTGCCTGACCTTTTGCAACACGCGTGCTGTCGCCTTCGACTGCTTGAGCAACCTCACTCTTCAGAGCAATGTCCTGCTTCTCAAGATAACACTTCAACCTGTCAAGACAGCGCTGCTTGCTCCCAGACTGGGAGAGACCAGCAGCCTTGCACGAAGCTCTGATGACATTCAAAGTCGATGCCAAAGACAACTCGACGCCATCATACACCAGAACATCTCGCTCACTCTTGCGCTCCGGCATCGGCGCATCTGCAACTTCAACATCAGGCAAGGGAGACACACTCACCTCGGCGGGCTCGAAAGCCTCTGCCATTCCATCATCACTGGGCTCATATTCATCAAGCTCCCCTGCATTGGGATCTGCTGGCTGCGGCCCGCTCCAACTGATGTAGTCCTTGACTGACCTGCTTGGCACGATCATCATGTCCTCAAGCGGTGCTCGATCAGTCGTGAGCACACACACAACATCGGATTCCCCGTGCGGTAGCACAGCAGACAACTCCTGAAGCTCACCCCAGCTCACACAGTGTTCAAGCAGGAGCCAGTGGTCGTAGCCGTCTCGGCACGGCTTCACAAGCGTGGTTCTGCATGGCCACCCAACAGGGGCAACGATGGAAGGATCGATGAAGTGCGACCCTCGGCCGCGGAAGAACATGTCACCCTGCTCTGACATCTGCCATCCAAACGGTGCATCAATCATGCTTGCATCAATCGTTGCTTGAACAAACCTGACATGGAGTGCAGGATTCACAGACTGCTCACCGACACGGTAAATGGCAGCTTTGATGCATAGCGAATTGCCCTTGAAGCTCATCGGCACTCGGATGCCACTGTCATGCTCAAGACACATGGTGGGCTTGCGCTGTGGCCACCACCCAGCACGCATGAGCTTGCCCTTGCACAAGAGAGGCTGAGTGACAGGTGCAATCGCGCAAACTTCTCGCCACACAATCGGCTCACCTTCTTCACTCTGCAAAACGAAATCAACTTCTCTCAAATCGTTCACAGCAAGTGGCTCGCCCTGTGCATCTTTCAATGCCAAGCCTCCGGCGCCCTGACTGGTGCCATGCGTGGCATAGCAAAGTGGCAGGCAACTCATGTCTGCTCCACTGTCAAGGATGATCTCATGAGCTTCTGAGTCGTGCACCAACATGTCAATGGAATGCACTGCGCACACAAACTGAGGAATCCCGCTGCAGTCTGACTCGTCCTGAAGATCAAAGGTCGATGCAGCTATGCACCACGACCCTGCATTGGCATCACAAGCTGACATGTCGAAGCTGTGGTCACACTCGGACCCGGGACCCTCTGGCACGCTGCACTGATCTTGCTCAAGCAAAATGGGACCCTCTGGCACGCTGCACTGATCGTAAAATTCAAAACGACCTGTGGGGACTGGATTGCCTCGGCTCTCAAACCCGTTGAAAATGTTATCAAGACAATCGCTCAAGCCATCCGAACACTCGAAGCGCTCAACTCCCGAAATTGTCAAGACATCTGAAACTGGATATCCCAAGCCAAGGTGGCTGGCACGCATTGCATCAAGAAAATCAAAATCTGAAAATTCTGAAATCCCTCTCGGCATGCAACCTGTGGGGCACTGGATTGCCTTGGCTCTCAAACCCGGCTCGGCTATAACGGCACGCACATGGCCGCCTGCAAACCAGCTTGACGTGTCACCAAGATCAAAGACCTGCACACGGCGAACGGCTGTGGTTGCCGTGCTCGATGCTGCAGCCTGGCTTGCACTGTCTGACGGCTGCACCTCGGAAACCTGATTGACACGGCCTTTCTCATGCTTTTGCTTAAGCCAGCAATCCTTCTCCAAGTGACCCTTGCGCTCACAGTAACGGCAGGTGCGAGTCTCAGTTGCAGGAGGCGGACCTTTGGGAGTGTTCCCGCCTTTGCCCTTGCCTTTTGGCTTGCCTTGGTTCTTACCACCTTTACCGCCTTGTGGCTTGCCACCATGACCTTTGCCTTTTGGCTTGCCTTTGCCTTTGTCACCTTTGCCCTTAGGCTTGCCCTTATTCCATGCGACACGATCAATCTCCATGGGCGCGGGACCGCCTGAGGACGAAGATGCAATGCCAAACGTGCTGGCAATCGAAGTGCTCCACTTTGTCTGGGAAGTGTCCCAGCGCTCAATCAAATTCCGAAGATCCTGATACGTGGAGCTTTCTGTGATCAAGACGGTGGCCTGGGTCCTGAGTTGTCCGGACAGACATCGAAGAACGGCGGCCAAACGATTGTCGTCTGACATGCTAGTGCCAGTCAAGCCTTCATATTCATTCACCGCACTCTCGAAGCGGGTGAGTTGGGTCATAAGGCCGGTCCGGTTGTCAAATGCGGGCCACGAGTGTATTGCTTGCAACAACGCCAAAATGCGATTGCGCGAACTCGGCATTAAATCTTGACTGAGGATTCTATATGCCTCAAACCCGTTTGCATCTGTCAAGGATTTCAAGACTCGCTTGCCTTTGTCATGCAAGAGCCCGGCTAAGACACCGTAAAGAAGTCGGGACCTGTCTGCTTCAGCTTCAGTCAAGGATGCAAGTGCAATCGGATTGGCAGGCCTACGACGGATTGTCTGAAGCTCCACGCCAAATGCTCGATCAAGACAAGACAGGTACTGTTCCAACTCCCAAGACCAATTAGCCCACAGTGAAAGCTCTGCATCCCGGTCCTTGGGACGGAAAGGCTCAGGAGCCTTGAGGACCTTTGCAAGGTCGCGCCCTCGGATCGCCTGCTCCCTAGGCGCTCCAGTGTTGTTGGAAACAAGGGTTGTCAGGTTTTCCAACACTTGCATCAACCGCTCCTCGTTCGGCGGTGCTCTGCTTGCAGCAGACGCTGGGGAAAACGGGTTCCCAGGAGGCACAAATGCCCCAGCAGGAGCTCCAAGCTCCTCATCACTATCATCGGCACCCACTGCGGCAGCAGCCGCATCAGCATATATCTCTGCCATTGTTTCTAATCAAGATCAATGGTGCAATCGGAACCTTCGCGGTGCAATGGAACACGAAACGCAGCTGAAGAACTTGCTTGATCAGGCGTTGATTGCTCAAGATCAATGATTTCCGAACTCCCACAAGAAGAAACCTGAGGAAAACCACCTAGACTAGCGACAAGGGACCTTTCAAAGTCCGGCGCCTCGGTCTGGGCGTGCACAAAGGATTCTTGCACTGAAAACGGTATGCAATTGGCAGTACAGATAGCAGCTCCCTCGCAAAAGAACTTCTCCTTCCACTCCTTCTCTCTCAAACACTTGCTTGCAAATTTGTAAAGCTCAGGCACAGTGTGAAATGATTGGGCTCTGGCTTCGCACGCGGCAAAGCTGGTACGCAAAATGCGCACAAAGGACTCCCTGCTTCTACCCTCGGGCTGAGGTCTCGCCCAAAGCTGCTCCTCGTACACAGACAAGAGAAGCTCACGCAGCAACTCCACTCCTGCTAAGGTTGTCGTGATTTATTGTTCAAGCAAACAAAGCTCGCGGCAGCTATGGCTCGTCCGGTCGGCGCCGGGATTGCGAAGCTACGGCACTACAGCCTAAGTTCACCGAAATCACGCAACACACTCAGAGGAACGCTGCCACAGCCTAACAGCCTGGGCCCCTGAACTCAAGCCCACAAGAAGTCCACGTGTCCCGAAGCTGGGTCGGCCCAGCTCCGCTACCATGAACAAACTTCGGACTTTTGCAAGTACTCTGAGCCTGAAAGTCACGACGATCACACATGCTTCGCATGCTCTCCGAGAAAACTACACGAGTGGTCAAAAGCTACCAAAACTGTTCTAGCAAAATAAGAGTACAGGGCATAGGGGAAAATGTTGATCACACAGACAGAGCGATGTCGGTGGAATGACCCTCTCGGTGTCTCTCCATGTACATCAGCCGAAGGATTTCGTGAGATGTAGAAATCCGCGCAGTGGCCTGGGCATTTGGCGCCTGCGTCGTTTCCAAGAAAAGAATCTGACTTGGCGTTGACGCCGGCTCATGCGGTATCAAGTGAATCAGCACATGTAACACGACCGGCTTCATCTTCTGCAAAGATCCCACGCAGAACCATTTAGGATCAGTGGAACCGAGACGAATAAAGATTCCTGGCTCGTCCAGCTTGGATTGCTTCAGCACGTGGTGCAACTGATCCGCGAGAAGGCAAGCCTATATAATCACAACTCTCGGGTCACCTCTAAATTCCAAACCTTAACACTCAACACTGAACACCCTAAATCTTATTTAGCATATTAATAATATTACATAACTAATGACTAACGACTATGAATACCAAAAAATAAACTCGAACTTTAACTAGAACTTCCTACATACTAAAAGTCTTTTCCCAATGCTATCCTGCCTCATCGCAGAATTGCAAGCATGAGCAAACACCGCCTTGTGTTTCATGACATGTGCGTGCAATGGCCGGGAAAGAAGGAGGGTTCGCAACAATGTCACTGTCGAAACCGAAAATCTTCTCCGCCTCCTCACGCGATGCCTGTTGCGTGATGGCAGTCTCAGATAGGACATGTTGAGGTGCCAAGGCCGTATTGCAATCGTACACACCGAGACCGCACTTCCAGACGGGATGGGCCGCCAAGGCTGACAAGGATTTGTCAAGTTGGCTTTGTCCCAACCGACGTACTTGGCCAATCGAAAGAGATTCCGTGCTCACAGGCTCACCAAGTACATTAGCTGCCACAGCCACTCGTTCCTGTGCCATCTTCAAAGCCTTTTGCTCCAACTCCTGTCGTGCCTGGGGCGACTCCAATGACAAATGATACAATTCCGACATGCGCTCCGTGTCATCTGCCAGCTTCTTTCCGCGCTGCAGCGCGAGGAAAGCATGCCACAGGTTTGGCCTCTTCTGCATGCGCTTCTTCTGCTGGATTTTCAACACGTGTTGCTTGACAAACTTTCCCCTGCGGCGCTGGGTCGAACCTGAATCCGCAAAACTTCTCAAAGAAGTCTTCGCGGCTTTGCTGTTCGAGACAATTCTGTTCCCCATGAGCTTCCGTGCCCTCGCAACCCCACCAGCGCTCTTGCCGAACACTTGTGCCTCCAACCAGCCCTTGAGTCGAGCATGATATATCCGAGCCGCAAGGATGTAGGCCTCACGTTGTACAGTTGTTGGGTTGCGACCAGGGTTTTGCAAGCTGTTTTGGGAGACTTGTACATGAGCATGCATCTTCTCGACACTTTGCGAACTTACAGTTGAAGTCAGCGCAGTGTCATACAAAGCCTTTTGCACATGTTGGGCAGCTTCATCGCTCTTGCCAGCAGCTTTATAAAAATCCAAGATCACGCCAGTGAAAGGTGGATGAGCACACTTGGCACATGTGCTCTGGCGGGCACACAAGTCGTCTAGATACGCTTTGGCACGAGCTGCTGAAACCTGTGCAATGTTGAACACCTGAGCTGGGCTGGACCAGCGAGAAACAAGGTATACGGTATTCGGTATTCAGCGGTATTCCTTCATGCTACATACTTACTTGCAGACCTTACGACGCCACCTTAGAGCTGCTACCGAAAACAAGAAGACTAGAAGTCTAGAAGTTTAGAAGAGTCGTTAATGAGTCTATGCATGATGCAATGATACACGAACCCGTACAACCTTGTCTATGAATGCCTGTTCCTCCAAAGTGCCAGATAAGGCTGTCGGTCACGTGCGAAAACCAGGCGTCTCCATGCATCAGCCATGGTGATGAGAACAAGCTCAGCGGTGGAATCGAAAGTCCCATGTGTGCGCGCAGAATCCCATGGCTTCCATAGAGCAGCATCAGCTGGAGCAAGCAACAATTTCGTGAATTTGTCCACCACCCTTCGACCAGCGTCCCCGGTCCAAGCATCAACGGTGGCACTGACCAGTGCATCTGCCGACACGTCTTTGCACTTGCTTCCGTCCAAACTGATGCCTAGCTGTTTCGCTTCCCATCGTTGGCGCCATGTGTCTGCCAAAGACAGCTCGTCCATGTATTCCCGGATGGGCAAGCTGATGAGAAGCCCTTGATGCAATTTCTCCTTTGGCAGGAGCGCAAATTCAACTTGAACCGACAACTAATGATTAGTACAACTATAACATAACTGATACGAATTGGCAAAAACATCAATCAAGAAGGGGCTCATCCAAGCCAGGATCTTGCAAGAGCAACACTGTCTTGCAAACCCGCACTTGTTGCCGGTTGGCAAAGGATGCATCGGGATCATCCTCGTCTATTTCAACTGCAATCTCTTGCATCTGCGCGCTGGTTTTGTTGAACAGCTTGAGCAATATGTCTGTAAGAACGCCATTGACAATCAGCCCACGCAAGCAGTACGAAGTGGCTGTCTCGAAGTGTTTCCAGCGATACAGAAGCGGGACCGGAGGAAAGCAGCCGATCAGAAGTTTCATGTGGGCCACGGATCTCCTGATAGAAAATATTCTAAATCCTAAACTGTATTTTGTCTTTTACTACAACTGTCAACAGGCAAAAACGACGGAAAATAATAGGCGCAAGCGTCGCATAAAAGTCATCTTTGCCATTGCAACAGCCCGGCGTGCAATAGTGCGCCCACCCGCCACCGAACTTGCCATTGAAAAACTTCAGAATCGCTTCCTGCTCATCCTCGGACAGGTCGTCGTTGCAAAGATTTAATGCACGTCGGTTCGCCTCATACCATTCCTGAACTTGCGGAGGCAACTCTCCCACCACGATCCGCCTGACAGACTTGGCGACATGCTCCAAGGCAGCAAGAAACTTCTCCCGAAAACGGCTGGATGTCATTGCCCGACCTGATGCCGAGAGACACAGCTTGAGAAAGTCTTCTTATGTCATGAATCATGAACATAAGTCTTAAGTCGTAACAAACTTTCTCTGGACGTGCAGCTCAGCTGCACATCCGGACCAAACCCGAACAAAGCTTTGGAATCTGCAACAAAGAAGGCTTCTTCGAGAGTGCTGCCTGATGATGCAAGCAGTAGTTGACCAGCCGTGCCACGAGCTTTGCCTCTGAATCATCACTGTCACGCCTCGCTTGCCAATCACGTTCCTCCATCGCGTGAATGCAGGTGTTCACTGTCAGAGCATCCGTGACATGCACGTGAATCTGCAGCTGGTAGCGGGCAGCTGCTGCCGACAAAGATGCACCACCCAAGAACTCGGAAGAGCCAGCACTACAGAAACAAATCCAACGACGCAGACGATCAGCAACAGTCGCCGCATTTGCCTGAGGCAAGATCTGGCCAGGCGCATGCACATGCACCTCAGCTCGGGTTGACTACCTTCCATCGGGCTATCCTTGCATGTACTGCTATTACAAGTTACAGTAGTAGTATGGCCCTGTATGGAAGAAGACAGCGAAATTAACGAACACCAACTCAAATGTTGTTGAATAATGTGCCGCAAGACTGTTTGCAAGGCTCCATTTGCATCACACGATGATCGCGTAGCTATCTTCTGCAACAAACCCAGAAGCGGCACATGGACACGATTGCTGCCACGCTGGCCTCCCTTCTTCTTGACGGCTACCACAGGTTCAGCTGGCCGCGGTTGCAATTTCTTGCGGATCGCAGAGGACTGGACCTCACGGCTCAAAGCATCCTCTAATCGCTAATCTAATTTCATTTCTAATTAATTTACCTAAATAACTCTAACCTATTCGCACATATCAAATCACTAAGTCACTAACTACTTTCCAGAAGTTCATCCAGGCAGCCCAAACATTTGTGTCATCGTAGATGGCGGTAAAGATCAGATGGCTGAATTGGCGGGCGCTCAAATAACGAACGAGTTCCGTGGACTGGGCTCTAGCATGCGACACCAAAGCGATATCTTCGATACGACGACGCTGGCCTTTGCAGCTGCTGGTGTAATCGTAAATCCCCGTGGCGCCATCATCATTTTGAAATGTCCTTTCCCATATTTTGCAATCCAAATCAAAACCACGTGATAACACTGACACGAACCTACTGTAGTTTATGACTCTGACAGAAACCAAAAAACACTAAACCCTAAATCCCAAACCCCCCAAACCCTAAATCCCAAACCCTAAATCCCCCCAAACCCTAAACCCAAAAACCCTAAACCCTAAATCCCAAACCCTAAACCCTAAATCCCAAATCCAAAAACCCTAAACCCTTAAGCAGCATTAAATTTCAGCGGTGGCACATCAAGTTCTGGGACTTGTCACGTGCAGCACCCGCAGCATTTGCTGTGCCGAACACCAACCGTGCAATGCGGCTTCCACGATCATCGCATATGGACTGCCCATCTGTCGCAGCACCGATCCTTACTTGGTACTTAGAACTAGAACGTAGTACGACGTAGTACTTAGTGCTAACAGTATCAGTATCACGGAATCACTGAATAATCACCGTATCATTCATCCCCCGGAAGACCCCTAGAAATCATAGAAATGAACTAAAACCACATGCCTGCCGACTGCCTTCAGCTAAGTCTCTGCGCATTCAAGATGCCCAGCTTCACAGACTTACTGTGGCCTACATACGTTCGTTTCCGAGACATGCGGGGAGCAGGGCACACAGGCTCAGGATCACTATTATCATTGTCATCACCCACGCTGCCATTTCCATGGTCCCGACGACTACTTGCGTCACTGCAGCGCAGAGACTGATTGTCTGAATTCCCTCCTCGTCCGGCCGCGGCGTTTGCAGCTCGTCGCAGCGAAAGTAACAGTGACATCAGAGCTACAAAACTCCACAAAGTTCCTTCCAAAAGTAACCTGACTCAACCAAAACTGTCCCGTTCGATGAAGACTGAAGATCGGAAGACCTGATGCCTTGGAAAGCGATATCAGCTTTGAGCCACTGATTGCACTGGAGCTAAACGTTTTCAGAACTGATAACGACGCCGTCACAGAATGCAGAAACTCTACATGACAGACAGACCAAGAAACATGACAATGATTCCGGGAAACATGGCCTGGTAAGCACTGTCGCGGGCAATGTTCTTCTTGTGGTGCAGGCATCCCGCCACGTTCTCGAGAATGCAGTTCCTCCAAGGAAGTTCACGGATTTGAGGGTTTGGGGGGGCGGGGGGGGGTGTCGGTTCCATGGAAGGGGCACCGATGCCTTGGAGAGCCTAGTAGGGGGTGCTCAATGCTCGAAACGTGTCCGAAACATTTGCCCTCAGACCAACCGCACACTTCTCCCGAAACAGCAGAACGGAATCAGTAGGCAGTAGGCCCTACCTCGGACGATTTTGCCGCACGTGGCGACTGGCATCCAGAAACGTCTTGCCGTTTTTCTCCTCCGCTGAGGAGGTGCTAGGGTAGGGTCAGGTCCAGGAATCACAAGCTCTGAATTCTATGAGTTCTATGCATGCAAGCTGCGAAACTCCCGGATGTGAACAATGACGGTACATCTGTCGCATCACTTCTCGGCGCTGTAGTTCTTACACACGAACCCGCAAATATACAGATCCTCAGGTTTCAGCGGCACTCAACCTGTGCTCTGCAACTACAGTACAAGTATTATAATTCAAAGGGTAAAAGGAGGGACCCTTAATGGGGACCCCTACCCTATAATGGGCTATATAATATAATGGGTATATATAATGGCTATATTAAGGGTATATACCTAGGGGTCCTTATTAAGGGTCCCTCCTTTTACCCTTTGATTAACGGAAACATATAGTAATGCAGCTAACTGAAACAAGCGGCTTCTTCAACATCAGGCTTTGCATGCTTACGGAAGCACTGACAGCACCAAGCAGATGCAGCATTCTGTTGTGCCATGTCCCGGTACAGATGCTGTGGCCGATGTTCGGATTTATAGAATGACCGAGTGTCATCCTGCACGGGGCAACACGACTGAGATCTAGACTCTGGGCTCTGGAGTAACGACTTGCTCTGCACCGCGCCCCCACACCGGACCACCCATCCCGCCCCCATGTGCATCAAGCGGCATGAATCTCGGATCCGCTGATCTCTGCGAAACCTTCGGCTATGAGCCCCCTCGCTGCATATGACGGCGCTCCCGACCCAGAGCAGGCGGAGCACATCACCTGACCAATTCAAGGATTTCGGCTAGGGTAGGTTGTTTCAAGGAGAGTAATGCACCGCAGTGTTTAATTGCCATTCAGCTGCGAATGGCGAAGTGAAATGTATCGGGACTGCACCCACAGAGGACAGCATTCGTTCTGCCCAACTCATGAGGCGTTCGGCTCGAGACGGCGTCCTTCCACTCGGATTTTCCGCATTGACATCTCTATCACTATCTCTCGCTGGTGATCGCGATCTTGCCCTCGTGCCCCTGCAGCAGCACAAGCAAACATCATTGCTCGTTCAACGAAGTGGTTTATGATACACCTTCGGGGTGGCCCCCGCCCTGTAATAGTTCAATACTAGGTTTAACATTAAACACACAGCCAAAAAGTAGCACCAGTAAATGAAATCCAATTTCGGGCCCACCACCCACCACCCACCACCCACCACCCACCACCCACCACCCACCACCCACACCAACCACCAACCACCAACCACCAACCACCAACCACCAACCACCAACCACCAACCACCAACCACCAACCACCCACCCACCCACCACCCCAACCACCAGCCACCAGCCACCAGCCACCAGCCACCAGCCACCAGCCCACCCCTCCCCCCCCTCCCCTCCCCCACCACCCACCACCCACCACCCACCACCCTAAACCCCAAACCTATCTAATGCCGCGAAGTAAAGGCGAGAACCGCCCCAAATCTACCTAACGCCGCGAAGTAAGGGCGAGAACCACTCCAAACCTATCTAACGCCGCGAAGTGAGGGCGAGAACCCAATGGGACCAAACAGCCTGCCAAGGACTACCAGGTTTATCACTTATCATAACTTTACCGCATCAACTGACCAGCCTGCTTTCTGGCCCTGCACGATTGGTCCATTGCAGCGCAGCACGCAAAAGCATCTCTTTGTGAGATTACGTCTATGGTATGTATCGTTATATGATATGTATGACGAAAAAGATGGAGCTTCTATTTCAGCTTGCCAAGGAACTTCCAGAATGACCCTAGGTTTATCGAAATTTGCCGCTTACTCGTCCCAAGATTTGGGCTCCCATCTTGTAAGCAAGCCAAATCCTGCCAGGCACTTGTCCCGAGTTTCGGGCTCAAGTCGGCTTGAACAGCAGATTTGTCCAAGCATCTATCCGGTGATTACGGCCTCACAAGCAATTCTGTCCAAGCATTTGTCCGGACGATTTGCCTGGGTTTATGGTGGATTTGACCCAGATTTGTAAAGACCAATCTTCGTATGGAACTGGCCCTCCCAATGCATTACTTCGTTTTTGCGGAGTGTTTCTTGGCAGCCTTTCAGAGGCCATGCCTTGTGGCTGTTATGTTTTCTGCAAGCTTCTTTACCTTGCCGCATCGCACAGCTCCGGGTCAGGCGGTGTAAAAGTCCAAACTTCTTTGCCAAATCCTACAACATAGCAAAAACTACAAAAAAAAATGCATCCTGCAAGCCGATCAGTGAGAAAGGTGGCATCGATGAAGACAAGACGCAAAACCTGGAGCTCCACCATCCGGGGCATGCACAAGGTATAGCTGCCGCGCTCCAGATTTGGATTGGAACAAATCTGGGTCGCATCTTTGGAAACCCTGATGCAAAGCTTTCTAAAGCCTTATCCAATCTATCCTGCGTCTGTGCGCCTGTAGACCCCATATCTTTGGCTGGATCAAGCATGTTGTTTGCAGCACGAATTTTTTAACTTATGCTGCAGTGTTGCAAGCATGCAAAAACGCTGCCAAGTCCAAGGGCTGCAAATCCA